ACCTCCATTGGTGCCTCTCCGATGATGCGTGAGTAGTTCTTTGAAGACCTTCGGGTCCATAGTTAGTAGCTAGATGGCTTCCTCTCTCTCGCTGAATTCTCAATACAATGGTCTCTTGGAGATCCATATGGTGTAACTCTTTTGCGGTGTGTTTGTTGGGATCTGATGAACTTCGAGTTTATGATCAGTTATATCTTTTTGTATCCATGAAAGTTATTTGAGTTTCTTTGATCTCTTATATGCATGATCTCTTATAGCCTCGTATTTCTTCTCTGATATTTGGGTTTTGTTTGGCCAACTTGATCTATTTATCTTGCAATGGGAAGAGGTGCTTTGTAGTGGGTTCGATCTTACGGTGCTTGATCCTAGTGACAGAAAGGGAAACAACACGTATGTATCATTGCTACTAAGGATAAAACGATGGGGTCTATCTCTACATAGATAGATCTTGTCTACATCATGTCATCGTTCTTATTGCATTACTCCGTTTCTCCATGAACTTAGTACACTAGATGCATGCTGGACAGCGATCGATGTGTGCAGTAATAGTAGTAGATGCGGGCAGGAGTCGGTCTACTAATCTTGAACGTGATGCCTATATAATGATCATTGTCTGGATATCATCATGATTATTTGAAGTTCTATCAATTGCCCAATAGTAATTTGTTTAACCACCGTTTGCTATTTTTCTCGAGAGAAGCCACTAGTGAAACCTACGGCCCCCGGGTCTTATTTCTCATATATTTGCATTTGTGATCTACTTTTCTCTTGCATCTATTTTCAGATCTATTAAACCAAAAAATACAAAAATACTTTGCTGGACTTTATTTTATTTGTGATCTATTTATTCAATCTATTACAATTTTATCCCGTCCACGCACTATTTCTGGCGCCGTACCCCAAAAGGGAATGACAACCGCTTTAACACGTCGGGTTACGAGGTGTTGTTATTTGTGTGCAGGGGTTGTTTACGTTGTGTTGCTTGGTTCTCCTACTGGTTCGGTAACCTTGGTTTCATATCTGAGGGAAATACCTGCCGCCGCTGTGCTGCATCATTCCTTCCTCTTTGGGGAAATACCGACGTAGCTTCAAGCGACATCACCCTCTCATGGCGGTCACTAGAGGTAGGGGACAGGCAAGGGCGAGTTTGAGGGAATCTGAACCTTATGCAACGATAGAAAGGGGCGAGCAAAAAAAAATTGAGACCTCTTTTCTTCTAGAGAGTTTGGTGTGACGGAGGAGGAATTAAATCAGACTAAATGGAGGAGCGAAATGCATGAAGAGAGGGAGAGGAAACCTAATTTTCTTTTTTAGATATAAGTACATAAGAGATTTGAAGCAGGGTGGGCTCGCATGATTGGAGGTTAAGAAGATCAAAGCGTCGAGGGGCCAGGGCCTCCGGTGGCCGAAGACCCCTCGAACGGCGGCAGCAGCAGCTGGGTGAGTGTGAATTTTCTTTCTTTCGAGCCGGTTGAGAAGATTTCAGCCTTCTCCAACATAGGGTCAAACAGGACCATAGGCCTCTGATCACGACCTTTGTTGATTCCCTTTAGACCCGAACACACCTACTTTTGCAACTTCTGCACCCCACCTTGCTGTCCAAAGTGGTTGTAGGCTGATTGTAAATATGTAACTTTGTACTCTGATCCTATATAATGGAAACACAGTAGGAGCCTCTCCTACTATTTCAGGTGTCAAAAAAACAAAGAATATCTTTTTTTTTAAGTTCAAGCCTCCTGTATTTATTCGTAAAGGGCAGGAATTTCTACAATATAATGTTTATGATACATTATGGTGGCTCATGTAGCCAAACCTTACACAGATTATTTCCTACACCTACCTTAGCAAAGCCATGAGCTGCACCATTTTCTAATCTCCTCACCCAGCTCACCTTCCATCTTTGGCATGACTCCAGTAGGCATCTGACCTCCGCTATCAGCAGCCCCAGCGTCGACAAGTCCCTGTCATGACTTTGAAGCTTTGTAACAACTTCTTTGCAATCCATCTCGATATGCATGTTTTCAATATTCAGTTCCTCCGCCATCAACACTGCACACCTGTAAGCTTGAAGCTCGATCCTAGCTGGGTCTGAATCTTGAGGAAAAAAGTGGCATGCTCCTCCGAGATAAGCACCCTCATGATTCCTAAACACCGCACCCACTCCTCCTTTATCTCCATGTTCTGATGTTGCACCATCGATGTTCACTTTATCCCATCAGGTAGGTGGGCTTGTTCCACATCTAGTGGATGGCGGACTGTCTATTCTACAGTACACAGATGATACTATCATCTTCATGGAGCATGATCTGGCGAAAGCAAGAAATATAAAGCTGTTGTTATGCTTGTTTGATTAGTTTTCGGGGTTAAGATTAACTTCCATAAAAGTGAATTGTTCTGCTTTGGGAGAGCTGAAGACGAACAAGAAGCCTACAAACAACTGTTTGGCTGTGGGATAGGCTTGTTGCCTTTCACATACCTGGGCATACCGATTCACCATCGCAAGCTCTCTATCAAAGAATGGAAGTGCATTGAAGATCGATTTGAAAATAAACTAAGTTGCTGGAAGGTCAAACTCATGTCATACGGAGGCCAACTAATTCTCATTAATTTGGTGCTCACGAGTATGCCAATGTTTCTACTATCCTTCTTTGAGATCCCGGTAGGGGTACGGAAAAGTTTGGACTTCTATTGATCGCATTTCTTTTGGCAGAGTGACGAGTTAAAACCAAAATACCGACTCGCTAAATGGGATGTCATTTGTAGGCCAAAAGATCAAGGTGGTCTTGGAATTGAAAATCTAGAGGTGAAGAACACATGCTTACTCAGCAAGTGGCTATATAAGTTATCTATAGAGATCCATGCCACATGGGCCCAGATTCTGTGTAATAAGTACCTTAACACTGAGACCTTAGCATAGGTGATGGTCAGACCAACGGATTCACCTTTTTGGAAAGGACTACTGTGAGTGAAATTAGCATTTTTTTAATAGGACAAAGTTTCCACGAGATTTTGGGAGGATACGTGGCTAGGGGAGACGCCTCTCGCTATATAATATCCTTCTCTCTATAATATTGTTCAGTGTAGAGATGCATATGTTGCAACAGTATTACAGTCAAACCCTCTAAACATTCAATTCAGAAGGACGCTAGTGGGAAACCGTTGGGATGCGTGGCTCCATTTTGTGAGAAGATTGATGGATGTCCACCTTTCTCAACAGCCAGATCAGGTACATTGGAAACTAACCAAGAATGGATTGTTTTCAGTGAAATCCATGTATTTGGATTTAATCAATTCGGTTTCCCTCCCTTGATCTTTGCATATTTGGAAGGTCAAAGTGCCCTTACGGATTAAAGTGTTTATGTAGTTTGTCCACAAACAAGTAATTCTCACTAAGGACAACTTGGCAAAACGCAACTGGACCGGATCTCGAAGATGTAGCTTTTGTGAACATGATGAATCTATCAAACACCTCTTTCTTGATTGCCCGATGGCCAAAGTTTTATGGCGGTCTATCCATAGAGCGTTTAACATTGCTCCTCCTACTAGTATCAACACGTTGTTTGGGACATGGCTAAATGGAGTTGAGATAGAAACAGCGAGACACATCCGTGTAGGCGTATGTGCTTTATTATGGGCTATATGAAACTGCAGGAATGATATGGTTTTTAACAGAGCAACAAATGTTCATTTCTTGCATGTTATCTTTCGGGCCACTACGTTGATCTGTATGTGGTCGCTGCTCACTCCGATGAATGCCAGGGAGCGTATGGTTACTGGGTCTATCCATTGAAAGACGGTAGCACGGGCTATCTTCAACCGGTTAATATGATAGGCGTTTAGTTTCCTATCTTCTTTTATACTGTCGGTTGTGGCTATCCTGCTTTCTTTATTTTTAGCTCATTATGAGCATTTTTTTGTCTGAGACTTGAAGACTTTGTTGAACTATTTGCTTATTAATAATATGGTCGTATGCATCATTTTGATGTAGAGGCCGGGGGATGACCTCCTTTTCTAAAAGAACTTTGACCCATCCCAAGGCCGGCACCTCCCACTTCTATATTGGCGTGACTTTGACATCTTAATTTTGGTTTGGTAATTATTTGTCTTTATATCATTGTGAGGCCAGATAATCTAGCCATACACGCTTTGCCCAACCGGCTCCTAATAAATAACCCCATCCGGACCACAGAAGCCCAACCCACCCGTACCAAAGCACCCATATTTCCCCTCTTCCGTCTCTGTCGTGTTTCCTATTCCTCATCTCACTAGGGTTTCCCCGAGCTGCCACCGCTGCCAAGGAGGAGGAGGAGGAGGGGAAGGTGGCCGGTGGTGATGGTGGGCGGTGAGTCTGATCACATAGAGGAGGACATGGGAGATGCACTTAGGAACTATGGCGTCGGTGGCGTGCTTGCAGAGGTTGGCATTGGAAGAGACAAAATAAGGGCGCAGAGGAGAGGGTGCCGAGAAGGGTGTCATGGTGGTGGTGGGCGTCCGTGGCTAAGAGGAGGCATGCATTGGGGGCAGACGGTGGTGTGGTGGCCACCGCGCTGGATCGAGATCCATGGCGGGCTGGAGGAGTCTGGGAGGGATGGGGCTGCAAGGGAGAAAAAAATAAAGGTGTCTGTGTGAAAGCTGATAGTGAAGCGGTGGAGGTCTTTTGTAAAATTCCCACTGTTGGCCCCGCATGCGTTAGATATAGATTGGACGGACAAATTTGATGTACGGTCGAGTGTTGGCCACAAAGTCTGTCCAAATTTGATTCCATTTTGTTTGGTAGTATTTTTCTTTCTCTTCTTTGTGAAGTATGATAGATAGATATCCATCCACGCGCAACCCAACACACCTAATAAATTAATAAATACCCACCCGGATGCCAAAAGCCCAACCCACCTAGCACCAAATCTCTCATCTATCCGATCTTCCGTCACCGTCACATCTCCTGGCTAGGACTTTCTCGATCCCCAATACATCCACACCCATCCCCAGCCCGGATCCAGCCGATGGCGGCCGCGGAGGCAGGCGAGACTAAGATGATCATTCTCAAGAGCTCAGATGAGGAGGAGTTTGAGGTGGAGGAGGTTGTCGCCATGGAGTCGCAGACCATCCGCCACATGATCGATGACGGCTGTGCCAACAACAAGATCCTGCTCCCCATCACCAACTCCAAGATCCTCTCCAAGGTCATCGAGTACTGCAAGAAGCACATCCAGGCTAAGCCCACCACAGACACCACCACCAGAGCTTCCGAAGCATATGATGTTGTGGCACCTGCCGGCCCCGTCGAGGACCTCAAGAACTGGGATGCCGAATTTGTCAGGGTCAACGAGTCCACCCTTTTTGACCTCGCTATGGTACAGTTTCCTTTGGTCAATCCCCTCCTCCCTCTGGATCTGTCTCTTACTAGCCCCCTTCACTACTTCTTACTGCCCCACTTCCCTGGCTCATATCGTCTTTGGATTCATTTTGTTTCTATTTGCTTCAAGTTTGTTTTGTTACAGTTATGTTGCTCTTACCTTAGATAGAGTGATACAGAATCCTATAACATACATCCCCACGCCCTAAAACCATGTCTTATTTTGTGTATTAGCTTGTCGCAAACTTATCTATAAGCTTTGGTCTTTGGATCAATACTCATCATTCAATTCATGTCTTTTTTGTGTTCTATATTGTCTCATATGCATTTAATTAAATATATCTAACTATATATGTATTGTAGTCTGTTAATGAATACTTATGTTTGAGAGGTGATGTTTTCCATGTGAAGTGGACCCATTTATGAATTTCCATAGCTATCGCAAAATCTTTAATGTGTCTAAATGATTTATTGTATTTGTGTATTTTTCGTGTTTTGTTACATGCATGTTGTTTTATCTTAGATGGAGCGGTGTATCACATCTAGTATCTTATGTTACCATATATAATCATCTATCATAGATTACTGTCCCCTTAACTTATGATGTCTTGTGCTTTGGCCTTTGAATCAATACTCGTCTCAATTCATGTCTTGATCTTGTTTTAGGTTGTCACAAAACATCTTTTCCAAGGAAATACATTATCATACATTACTGGCCCCTGAATCCATGTTTGGTCTTTGAACTATCAACTATCAGTCACTTCATGTCTTCTCCACATCTTTTTTGCATTTTACAAGTTTGTAACACATGTTTATGCAAGGCAACCTATCGAATTATATATATTCTATAGCCATTGTAGATTAATGCCTCTCTCTGAGACCCTTTGGTTCGTTTTTGCCCTTTCAGGCTGCAAGGTATCTCAACATCAAGGGACTGCTAGACCTGACCACCGAGACTCTTGCCGACATGATAAAGGGCAAGAATTCGGAGGAGCTTCTAGGCTGAGGAGCAGAAGATCAACAGTGAGAACTAGTGGGACTTTGAGTAAAGGAGCTTCTATGTCGCGCTAAATCGAAGCTTAATATTCATCATGACTACCTATCCGCATCCATCTTTATTGTGTAATGGGTTGTAATTGTATTGGATTCTATGAGGTGGTGGTGTCGAAGAACATCTTTAGTGGTTACATTGCGAGAACAAAAGACCTATCGTGGTCAGTGGCATCTCTTTTCAAACATATAAGCATTTTCATAAGCTTCATTCCTCCATTTATTAAATCACTCATGTCAAGCAACATTTTCTCTCCAGCCAATTTGAAATCATAATTTAGTTGCTTAGGAACCCAATATGCTTTATGTTCTAATCTAAAGCTAGATGTCATGGTTTTCCATAAACCAATTTATACAATGATATGCCCATAAAAAAATTATATGCATTTCTGTAAGACCGAAGTGCACCGTCCATTCTCATTGACCAATCCTTTCTTGTTCTACTCACATTTTTATGCAAGATTAGTTTGATCTCTCTATTTGTTCATTCGACTTGCCCACTAGACTAAGTATGATAAGGTGATGCTACACTATGATTGACATCATACTTTGCTACTAGTTTTCTAAATGCGCATGAATAAAGTGTGAACCCCGTCAAGCATAAGGTATATAGGGACTACAAACCTTGGAATGACAACATCTTTAAGCATTATAATAGAAGTCTTATGACCAGTACTTTTAGTTGGAACAACTTCTACCCACTTAGTACCATAATCAACATCTGATATATGTGTTTTACCATGAGAAGTTGGACAGATCCCATATAATCAAAGCCCCAAATGTCAAAAGGTTCAGGAAAGAGAGAGTAATTCATAGGCATTTCCTCAAATCTGCTAATATTACCAATTCTCTGGCATTCATCACAAGACAAAATGAACTTACATGCATTTTTAAAGAGAGTATGCTAGTAGAAACCAGATAGTAATACACTGTGTGCACTTATGTTTCAATCATGGTCTCCATAGGGACATGAATGAAAAATTCTCAAGATAGATTTCTATTTGTGCTAAGTTATACAATGTCTAATAATACCATATACTCCTTTATTATATCAATTTGGGTCATCCCCAAAGCAATGACTCAAATGAAAGAACTACTACTCTCACCTCAAAAAAGAAAAGTATCAATCAATCGAAATCTATATTACTACTACACTGCTGCAGCATTTAGTCTTGCTCTTTATTGAGTACGTAAAACAAGGCAAAGCTATATATAGGAGCGATTCTTCTACTAGTTAGTACTAGTACACATATTTAACCATATGAGATTATTTTCTGAAATTCTCATTCAGATAAAGATGGTCTCATTCAGGGATTCGATCCCAAAATTCACATTGAATTCTTGTTCGCTAACCTGTAATAAAAGCATCTTCAGCAAAACTTTCTCGTACGACAATAAAGACGGCTACGTAGGTCACAACTATGATTATACTGGAAAATCTTGCAGCTATTGTGTTTTCCAGATAAGTTGAAGCGGGTATCCGAGATGACATTTCTCTTATGTATTCAGTCAAGACATTCAGCCTAATAGCAGCAGTAGCAAGTAGCCTAAAGCAACTAACACTCTATTTGCCTCCCATCAAATCTATAAGATACTGTCTTGAAACTCAGACTCCGTTTCTCTTTTGTGGATTTACCAGTCCAAAAAATTTACTACTATATGAGAAGTATGACAAGACGAACAGCTCAACTGAAACACACGTTCATCAATCCTGGAGAAAATGGGGTCTGATAATGGGGAAAAAAGAAAAATGCTCAAATATTTGGAGAATGCGATTAAACTGACTTGCAGCACATGACATGAAACTCGCACTTATGAGCTGATATGAGAGGAGATCCTGAACCCTGAGTTCAGAAGTTGGAGCAACTTCCCAACAAATCTGTATGTTATTAATTTCTCTTTTACATAAGTTATGTGCTGCAAAATCAAGATAGATTAACAAGAACAATCATTTTACTAGCAGTGGCACTGACAGGTGCTGCAGCCACCCGTAGTAGAGGCCAGCCTTCATAAAGTGGTCGGCCTCGATGATCCTCCGACAGCTGCCACCGACAGCGAGACCGCCAGCTCTGCCGTCGTCTCCGTAAGAACCCCCTGCATCCATCCATTGTTCATGGGGTTGGTGCCAATCAAACTTCAGAGTAGCATTCGTGTCAATCAAATGAATTCTATGTGTGTTACATACAGGTGTGTTGCCATTTGCCAAGGCTGATGCTGCAGTAGCAATTAGCATCACAAGAGAAAGGGCGTTGATAGGAGATCTGGAGAATGCATGCAAACAGAGATGATGCGTACCTCCTGTTTGCTGGTAAGCATATAGAGGAGCATGGATCGCCTCGGCTCAAGACGCTCGAGCTGGAATGAGATGAGCCTGCAACAATTCAGTTTATATGTTAGCTACTGACAAGAATTCAGACTGCATTACCTGGGTTTCAGGCAATGAGATGGCTGTATATGCATCTATTTCGCTTCAGTTTGCGTTTGTTTGTTATCGGTTGCATGCGTATATCGCTTCAGTTTACATTACAGACTGACAAGAATTCAGATTGCACATTTGCACCGCAAAGCATAGTCCAGTATGTGCAAATGGATATACACGACAGTATGCAATCAGGAAGCAGAACAACACAGGTTCACATGTTTTATGCACCTGAAGCAAAGATTCACGTCTCAGATGTGCCTTCTCGGTCTGGATTTTGAAATCCCAATGCCAATCTTATGCATTTAGTATCTATGTGTAGCTGACCGACCACAGCGGCCTCCCTCAGGACTTCCTCCATGCTGGAGGCCCTCTTCCATGTTAGGCTCCTCGCCACTCTCTTTCGGGAACTGACCATACGCTGCAGGCACATGCATTCAATCCACATCAACTCCCTACAATACAACAAGTTGATACAACAACAAAAAATATTAGCTAGCTAAGCTTGCCTGAATGGCGATGCTGTTTCTGTTGGTGGCATCGACATCGACACGATTATTCCTGACGGCCATATTGCTTACACATATTCCTGACGTCCCACCGGTGCTCTTGAGCGCAGAGAAGAGCACTTCCCCTCACTCCCTCTGTTAGCTGCAGTTTAACATATGCCGCAACAGCAGCGTCCAAATTGGAAAGTTACCTGATTCTTGGAAGTGCAGTTTTTAGGACAGCCTGACACAAGTACTTTACCATCCGTTACTCAAGAAAAGGAAGGACAAGTTGGGGGTGGGGTGCCTGTGGGTGCGTACACATTACCAGTTACGTACTCCCTCTGAACTAATGTAAGAGTGTTTAGATTACTAAAATAGTGATCTAAACGCTCTTATTTTAGTTTACGGAGGGAGTAGTTGACTAATAAACTGTGGGTTCACATTGCGCGCTGCAGGATGGAGACGTACAAGCTGATGTATATTAATTCCTGTCCATCTCCTGCTTGGATATTTCCTTGCATCATCGTTATTTTATACTGTACAAGTTGATCGATGCACGGTGCAGATGAAAACGTGATGAAGGCGACTTGCATGCGCGCGGCCGGCAACCTGGTCGTGGCAATCAAAGCTGGCCGGCCACTGGGGACCTGTAATGTCATGTTAATATAACCAATCAGGTAGAAAGTAGTCTTGTCCAGCACCGGCCGGCCGGGTGCAGGCTTATCTTCCATCATTACAGCAGAAACCCTCATCTCAAATATAAAATTTCCCATCTGTATTTTGAAATTGCAATGTCAATCTTATGCATATTGTATCTATGTGTACCTGACCATGATGGACGCCCTCTTCCATGTCACAGGCTGATCGCCGTTGGCTTTCAGGAATACACTGTGAAAAGGGTGATAGATGGAAAATTATAGTACAGCCTCTTCCATGCATGTCGCAACCTTTGGATAATCTGTCGTACAAAAATCACAGTACAAGCTGTGAAGAGGATGATAAATGACCTTGACTGCAGTTTCTAGGACAGCCTAACATAAAAGTACTTTATAATTCATTACACGAGAGAAGGAAGAAGAAGCCGGGGTTCACATTACCAGTTGACTAATCAACTGTGGGTTCACATTGCTTGTTTGTTTTCTTGTATCATTATTATTTTTTACATGTTGATCGCTGCGCTGCACGGCGAAGAACGAAGATGAAGACGAGATGCATTTGACAAAGAGTGTCTGCTGGACGCGTTTGGCCGGCAACCTGACCTTCACAATCAAGGCTGGCCGGCCATTTAGTTTTATTTACTCCCAGACTGCAACGGTGGTGCCGGCCTTCCTCTGTCGCAACGTACGTGCCCGTTGGGGACCTGTAATGTAAAGTTCATATAAGCCATCAGAGACAAAAAGATTACACCGCCTGACTTATGGTCACACCAACTCTTTGAAACGATCAGGCTTGCCAACTGATACATATCACATCATATATATCCGGCTGCATGATGGTAGCAGACTTCGCTTTGCTGATAGATTGAAAACTCCGTATCAAGGTGGAGATTTTGAGCGTTGTGACACAACAATTGGGTTCATCGCATCGCCATGAGCTTGCTCTGCTCGCTTGTTGCCGTCCTGTTGATCGGTGCTGTGAGCGCCACCGGCGACGAGGCTGCGTTGCTTGCTTTCAAAGCGCAGCTAAGCCATGGCTGCTCGCTGGCCTCCTGGAACAGCAGCGCCAGCTTCTGTAGCTGGGAAGGCGTGACATGCAGCCACCGCACGCCGGCGCGGGTGGTTGCGCTGAGATTGAACGGCACCGGGCTCGCTGGAGCACTCTCCCCGGCTATTGGGAACCTCACGTTCCTGCGGACGCTCGACCTGAGCTCCAACTCGCTCCACGGGGACATTCCGGCGAGCCTCGGCCGCCTTCGTCGCTTGCAGACTCTCTACTTGAGCCACAACTCCTTCTCTGGTACACTACCAGCAAACCTGAGCTCCTGCGTCAGCATCACGGAAATGAGACTGAACAACAACACACTTGGCGGGCGCATCCCGGCTGAGC